GTCCTCAAAGTCCCTACCTTTGGCTGTACAGTGGCTCCTTGCTGGGAGGCAGCGGCTGCAAATATGGGAGAGTCTCGGGGTTCCTGGGGAGAGCAGGAGTTACAGGTGTGTGACAGGGAACAAACAGCCTGTTCTTGTTGGAGGCAGCACCCCCAAACCCATAGGATTATAGCCCATGGCTTCCTGTAGCCCTTGGGATGAGTGCCCACACCCCCTGCTGAAGGGCAGGGCTGCAGGGGGGCTCCCCACATCACACCCTCCCAAGGGGACACTGTCACCCCTGTGTCCAGCACAGCAGGTCCCTGCTGGCACCCATCTCTCCCCCTGACACCCCTCAGCCCCCAGAGCCCTGGTGCTACTCACTGGCCAGGAACGTGCATGGTGAGCATGCGGTCACAGGACAGGCACGAGAAAGGGACTGGCAGCTGCCTAAGGAGGGTGAGAGAAGAGGGCTGGGGGAGCTCCTGGGGCCACAGCCCTGCCCACACACAGGCAGCAGCTCGCTGGCAGCAGCCAGGGGCCGGGCAGCTCTGGGGCGCTGTGTCACAGCCATGCCTGGGAGGAGGAGCTGCCATGTCCCACCCTGGCTCCTGGGAGCCTCTGCACCCACATCCCCCATTTTGCTTTGGGAGGGCTCCATCCTGCAGGTGCCCCCTCCTTGTGCCTCCTGTTCTGGGTGAATTGAAGTGGAAGGAGAAGGTGCAGCTGCTTCATCAGCATCTCCATGGTTGATTTAGCAGATGAATTGGTCCCAGGGCAGGGGACCACACCTGGGACAGCTGGAGGGAATGGGACCATCACCATCCCCAAGGCAATCACCATCTCCATCACACTCACTTCTTAATCCCAGCACCAGTATCACCCATCATCCTCTTCTCAAGATCCTCTATGTTTCTGTTCCAGGACTCCTCCAGGCGTTTACGGAAAGCCTTCAGCTCCAAGCGATCCAGCTGTGAACAGGTGCACAGCCTCAGCCAGCTGCCCCAGGATACAACATGCAGGTCTCCAGGGAAAAGCCTGGAAGGGGATCCTCAGAGGGATGCTGCCTCAGGCTGTCAAGTCCCAAAGGTGTCAGTTTCTGATGGTGGGGACCATGAGAACTGCTCACCTTCTCTTCCATTGCATCGCTGAACTGCTGCTGCATCTTGTTCCAGTGCTCCTCCTGGCCTGAAATCTGGCTCTGCAGCTCCTGCATCCTCTCATCCATCCATTCTACGTTCTCTTCAAACTGGCTGAAATCTACTTTGTTGCCTAAGGCATCTTTGTCGGCCTTCTATCGAGGGGAAGGGCAGGGGAGCAATGGGGAAAGGGATGAGGAAGGACAGGCAGGGCAGCACATGTGAGGGGCAGAGGGAGAAGTGCCTCCTCCAGGCCATCATGCCCCTTTCAGGGTGCTGTGGCCCCGTTTGCCCCATCACCCTGGTGAGCTTGGTCCCACCATGTGAAGGCACCCCATGAGCTCAGGAAATTCTCCCTCCCACAGGCCAGTTCTGCCAGCCAGCCCCCAAGGGACAAGGGACATTTGTCACCATGCCCAGGAACCCCTGGGCTGGCACAGAGGCCCCTGGAGACTGTACCGTGTCCATGGCTGCCAACATTTCCTGTTCATCTGCTTTCTCCTTCTGCAGCTTCTCCAGAGACTGGAACAGCATCTTTCAGCACAGAAAGGAACCCATGACACCCCAGTAGGGCTGGAGCTGCCTCCTGGGGCATCCCCCAGGAGCAGGGAGCACACCCTCCTCCCTGCCCCAAACAATATCAAGGAAAGGCACTTGGAATCAGCACAGTGCCATGAGTAGGTCAGCAGGGAGACAGATTCCCTGAGATCCCTGCCTGGAGTCTTCCTGGGTCATGCTCTGACTCCAAAGGGGTTTCAGCCACACACCTCAATTGCCTTCTGTTTTTGTTGAGAGTCCTTCTGGATGCTCCCTGAGGCAAAGCTGAGTTTCTCATAGTCTTTTTGAACCTGCAAAAACTTAGCTTCCATCTGCTGGCTCAGCTTCTGGTCCTGTTCCAAGGAGGAAAAACATTTGATGCTGACCAAAGGGAGTCTGTCTGCTCCACAGGGGCAGACCCACATTACTCAGCCAGTAGCCTCAGTTTCAACAGGACTTTTGTGTCAAGGCTTTAATTTCTGTCCATGCCTCTGACTGGTCCAGGCAGATTTGGGGCAGATTGGGTCTCCCCCACATTACAGCACAGCGCAGCATGAGGATGTGGCGTGGACATCCAGCAGTACAGAGCCAGGAGGTGGAGGGAGCGTTTCCCCAGGACCTCACCTGTTCATTCAGTTGACTGGCTGTGTCAGCCACCATCTGTTCCAGCATGGCATTCCTTATCTTCTGCTGCTGTTCCATCTTCTGCAGCTCCCGCTTTGTCTCCTGCAGCACAGCCCTGGCCAGCGAGATCGGGGCAAGGGCAGGGTTACCCTGCAGGGCTGCTCAGGCACTGTCCTGTACCTGCAGCCCGGGTTGCTCCCAGATCCCCTGGGCTCCCTTGCAGCCCCACAGGGTATGAAAACCACTCTTGTCCTCTTACTCCATTTGCTGAATGATCTCCTTGCTGGTCTCTTCTCTCCACTTGGTTGTATCCTCCCTCAGCTTTTTAATGTCTTCTCCCATCTTCTTCATCTGGGAAGGTTAGTGATGGCAGAGTCAGGGCACAGACATCAATCGTGTTGTCCCAGCATGGGGGCCCTTCAGCTGCACGGAAAGCCCCAGAGCCCCCCACCCTTTCCTGAGATCCTGACCCTAAACCGCTGCTCTTGGAGTCCCATTGAAGTTCCCCATGAGAGCCCAAAGATAACCCAACCCAGCAGCTCACTAAGTCAAGGGCCTCCTTAATCTTCTTTATGTCTCCTTCCATGAGGCCCTGTGCTGTCTGTATCCTGTCAATCTCCTCACGGAGTTCCTGGATGAGAGTCATGTCCTAAGAGAGAAGAGTGGTGGCCATGAGCATCTGGGGAGGGTCAGGACCTGCAAGGTCTTGAGCCCTGCCATGGTTTGTGGAGCACTGGGGGACAGCGCAGGGCCCGGCTCAGCCAGGCTGGGAGGCTGCAGGCAGCATTCTCCACACATCCAGCCAGCAGAGCCAAGGGCATGGGCTGCTGTCTCAGAGCCAGGATTTGCTCCCAGCAGCAGTTCACCTCATCCCGTGTCTGCTGGATCTTCTTCATGTCCTCTGCCACATGACGCTGGGCAACCTTCAACTTTTCAATCTCATTCTGGTTCTTGGAAACAGCTGTAGTCTAGGAGAAAGCATTGTCAGAGCCAAGTCTCTGGAGAGTGTGTGTGGGGAATGTGACCATCAGAACCACAGTGGTCTGCACCGACCTGTGCCTCCTGGAACTTCTTGAACTCCTCTGACATGCGGGAAAGTTCTTTCTTTATCCCACCAATGTCTTCACGAAGAACCTGTGAAGCAGTCCAAGAAGTGGGATATCAGAGGTGATGGCCAGGGCAGCAACACCCCAAAGAGCCCCACCCTGCCACGGGCAGCCCATGGCTCAGCCAGGCCAGCAGGTGCCGGTGCCGCCAGCCCCAGCCCAGCTCAGTGCCAGAGCACTGAAGCCCACGCAGATGGCAAAGAGCCACTGCCAGCAGCTCAAGCCCTGCCTGGGCAGTGAGGGCAGTGCCAAGCACCGCTGTCTGAGGAAGTGAGGAGGGGCTGTCTGGTGGGGGAGAGCCCAGGGGGCTGGGAAGAGCCTCTACCTTGGACGTCTGTTTCTTGTAGACTTCCATCTCCTTCTTAAATTCTTTCAGTTCAGCAGCTACATCAGCGAGTGAGGGGCCACTCAGCTGGCCCGGCCACGGCTCCTCGGTGGTCAGGTACTGCACATCCAGGTGCTCCAGCATGACCTGCAGCAGTTTTCTCATGGCTGCAAAATGCATGGCCCCCTTCTGGGGCACCCCGATGGAGAGATCCAGGAGCTGGGAGAGGCTGAGCGTGTCCAGGGATGTTTCCATGTCTGCACACACTTGATCCCTAGTTGGTCAGAAGCCTTCTTGCCCAGTTGGATCTGTCAGGGATGAGCAAAAGGGATGATAAAAGGGATGAACAAAAGGGATGATAGAAGGGATGTGCAAACATGATAATAAAAAGGATGAGCAACCAGCAGGCTCCTTCCTCCTTCCTCATCCCTTGCAGGACTGGAGCCTGCGCTGCTCATGCCCCTCTTCATCACAGCTCCTGTTGCCAGGCAACACACACCACTCCACTCTTGGGAGCCAGTAGGACCCAGCCTCATGGAGTCATGGATCAGTGGAGTCATAGTTTGGCTTGGATTGGAAGGGACTTGGATCATCTCATTTCACCCCCTGTCAGGGACAGGTAAAGGAACATTTTCCGCTAGACCAGGTTGCTCCAAGCCCCATCTAACCTGGTCTTGGACGCTTCCAGGAATGGGGCAGACACAGCTTCTCTGGGCAATCTGTGCCAGGGCATCACCACCCTCAAAGGGAAGAATTTCTTCCCAATATCCCACCTCTCTCTCCCCTCACTCAGTGTGAGGCCATTGCCACGCCAGGCCCTGGAGGTGCAAAATCCACCTCCAGCCCATTTTGTAGTCTTTTTATTTGCTGAAAAGTGCTCAAAGGTCTCCAGGAGAGTACAGCCTCATGGTTCTTTTAATCAGTTTAAGATGTATGTTCCATCTAAGCCAGTTCCTCCACTGCTGCAAACCCAAGGCCTGGTTTGGAGCATCCATTGGGATCAGCCTTTTCCAGGGAAGCAGTGAGGTGCTGCTCCTCGTGCAAGAGGAGCCCCATGAGCCCCTCGCTGAGCTATAGGGTTGTTGAGGCATAGACTCCTTTCTCCTCTGGAGTTCAGGGCAAAGAGTCTCCATGGGTGAAGCCTTTGTACAATTTCCTCTGGATTTATGTCAGCTTGAGAGTCCATAAAGGAGACAATCAAATGATTGCCACTATCCCCAAGGCTGTGGGGGGAAGACAAAGAAAGTTGTTCATTTCAACACCTACTGTCCATCCCAACCTGCCCCCTTCCAAAACACTCTCTGTTCACCCCTAGTCCTTCCTGCTTCAGAGCTCTGTGGCAGCAGTGTTCATGTTGAGTTGCAATGTTATAGCTTTTAATTATTTTTTTTTAATTAGTCTTTAGCAGTGTAAGTTCAACTCTTAGCTAGCAGGCAGGTAAATTTCTTTTCACAGGGTGTTATTATTAGAGTTTGATTGGGAAAATCAGGAAACTTTCAGATTTGGCAAACTAACCCTTAAAAGCTTCAGTGAACAAAGCCCAGTGGAGCTGAAAAGTGGACATGTAAAATTCAGAATTTATAGCACTCCAAGGAGTTGTTGCACAGACCAGAAGACAAAGAAGAGATTAATAAAGACAATTCAGTATATGCTGTAAATCTCCCTACCTTGGAAAAGCATAATAAAAAGATTGAAACATGTGGGCTAATTAGTATGAGAAGCAAGAAAGCTCTAACCAATAGAGATTAGAATACTAACTAATGAAAAGAATGTTGTGATTTTGAATGGATGAACATTAATTTCTTTGTTTGCTAAAATCAGATAAATAAGTGAAAAGTTTTGTGGATGTGTGTGGCTGGAACTATCCACTACACACCCCCTGACCAGCATAAAGTAATCTAACTTGCTGCTACTAAAATGATAGTGTTCAAGGGTTTCATTTGTCCTGTTTTAATAAGTTTTATTTATCCTGAAGTTTTCAGTGACAGTGGGAAAAGGCTCTGCCTGTATTTTTGAAAGTTTATTTATTAACTTGATAAAATGAAAGTGTTATTTCTCTGACAGCTATTGTCAGACTTTCGGCTGAGAAGACGTTCCTGGTGCATCACCGGGTTCCCAGTCCTGTCCAGCTACTTGAGGGCTGTCCAAGTCTCATGGTGCTGGAGGAGCCCTGATGCCCTGGAGACGTGTTTGGGGATCGTGCCTGGCCGGTGACCCCGTGGGGCAGCAGGGCCTGGGGGTGAGAGGAAGGAGTGAGCCCCCACGTCCCAGGGGCTGCTCCCACCTGAGCTCTGCCAGCCCAGGATGGGGCAGCAGGAGGGTCACCTGCTTGGCCAGGGACCAGGTGCAGACCCAGCAGACAAGCAGTCCCATATCCCCTGACAGGGCCACACCTGGCTCATGCGGTGTCCTGGTCACCACAGGAATCTGCTCATTACAGCCCCTCCAGGTGTGTCCACAACTGCCCAGCACGCGGGTCACTCTGGACTGGGAAGGAGAGAACAGCTGGCTGCAACGTGGGGGCAATTCAGCATCCCCTGCAACCCTCCCAAAGCAGCTCTCCTTGGGGAAACTGAAGGTACAAATTGACCCTGGATACTCAGCATCACCCTGCCAGCCCCACATGACATGCCTTACCATCATCATCCCTACCTTTTTGGCGAGGGTCCTGTGTCCCTGCAGAAATTCTGAGCTCTGGAGAGAATCCTGAATGGGTGGCAGTGTGTTCTGATGGTCCTCATATCTCTGAGGCACACGGGGGACACTGCCATGGACCGCCAGCCCCCTGTGGGATGGGGCAGAGGACACTCAGTGCCCAGCCCTGTGGCATCACCCTGCTGTGCCAGGGAGGGGACTGGTGGTGCTGCCTGCAGGGAGGGGACTGGTGGTGCTGCCTGCAGGGATCTGTTCCTCCCAGCTCCTGTCCACGTGCTGCAGGAGGCAAAAGCCTCTCGCACACAGGGACGAGCCCTCCTTGCTGAGGCAGGGCTACCCTGCACCCCATGAGCTGCGGATGTGTCCTCAAAGTCCCTACCTTTGGCTGTACTGTGGCTCCTTGCTGGGGAACAGTGGCTGCAAATATGGGAGTGTCTCGGGCTTCCTGGGGAGAGCAGGAGTTACAGGTGTGTGACAGGGAACAAACAGCCTGTTCTTGTTGGAGGCAGCACCCCCAAACCCATAGGATTATAGCCCATGGCTTCCTGTAGCCCTTGGGATGAGTGCCCACACCCCCTGCTGAAGGGCAGGGCTGCAGGGGGGCTCCCCACATCACACCCTCCCAAGGGGACACTGTCACCCCTGTGCCCAGCACAGCAGGTCCCATCTCTCCCCCTGACACCCCTCAGCCCCCAGAGCCCTGGTGCTACTCACTGGCCAGGAACGTGCATGGTGAGCATGCGGTCACAGGACAGGCACGAGAAAGGGACTGGCAGCTGCCTAAGGAGGGTGAGAGAAGAGGGCTGGGGGAGCTCCTGGGGCCACAGCCCTGCCCACACACAGGCAGCAGCTCGCTGGCAGCAGCCAGGGGCCGGGCAGCTCTGGGGCGCTGTGTCACAGCCATGCCTGGGAGGAGGAGCTGCCATGTCCCACCCTGGCTCCTGGGAGCCTCTGCACCCACATCCCCCATTTTGCTTTGGGAGGGCTCCATCCTGCAGGTGCCCCCTCCTTGTGCCTCCTGTTCTGGGTGGATTGAAGTGGAAGGAGAAGGTGCAGCTGCTTCATCAGCATCTCCATGGTTGATTTAGCAGATGAATTGGTCCCAGGGCAGGGGACCACACCTGGGACAGCTGGAGGGAATGGGACCATCACCAAGCCCAAAGCCATCTCCATCTCCATCTCCATCACACTCACTTCTTAATCCCAGCACCAGTATCACCCATCATCCTCTTCTCAAGATCCTCTATGTTTCTGTTCCAGGACTCCTCCAGGCGTTTACGGAAAGCCTTCAGCTCCAGGCGATCCAGCTGTGAACAGGTGCACAGCCTCAGCCAGCTGCCCCAGGATACAACATGCAGGTCTCCAGGGAAAAGCCTGGAAGGGGATCCTCAGAGGGATGCTGCCTCAGGCTGTCAAGTCCCAAAGGTGTCAGTTTCTGATGGTGGGGACCATGAGAACTGCTCACCTTCTCTTCCATTGCATCGCTGAACTGCTGCTGCATCTTGTTCCAGTGCTCCTCCTGGCCTGAAATCTGGCTCTGCAGCTCCTGCATCCTCTCATCCATCCATTCTACGTTCTCTTCAAACTGGCTGAAATCTACTTTGTTGCCTAAGGCATCTTTGTCAGCCTTCTAGTAGAGGGGAAGGGCAGGAGAGCAATGGGGAAAGGGATGAGGAAGGACAGGCAGGGCAGCACATGTGAGGGGCAGAGGGAGAAGTGCCTCCTCCAGGCCATCATGCCCCTTTCAGGGTGCTGTGGCCCCGTTTGCCCCATCACCCTGGTGAGCTTGGTCCCACCATGTGAAGGGTGAGGCACCCCATGAGCTCAGGAAATCCTCCCTCCCACAGGCCAGTTCTGCCAGCCAGCCCCCAAGGGACAAGGG